GCCCGCGCCCCATCTCACCCCCCACCCGTCTCCGTCTCCGCAGGTGCCTGGGGCCGCTGCTGCAGGACTGCCTGGGGGAGGCCCTGCCCGTCTCCAGGTACTGCGGGGCGGGGGCTGTGGGGGCCCCAGGGTGCTGCCGGGCTGCGCCGGGCCATGCCGTGCCCTGCCCTGGTGCCATGCCGTGCCGTGCACCGGTGCGCTGTGCCGTGCCCCGGTGCGCTGTGCCGTGCTGCATGGTGCCAAGCTGTGCCACGCTGCACCGTGCCGTGGCATGCCCTGGTGTGCCTTGCTGTGCCGTGCCCTGGTGCGCTGTGCCGTGCTGTGCCGTGCCTCACCATGCCTTGCCGTGCCAGGCTGCGCCATGCCCTGGTGTGCCGTGGCATGCCGCGCTGTGCTGTGCCGTGCTGCACCATGCTATGTTGCGCCATGCCGCGCTGCGCTGTGCCGTGCCGCCCTGCGCCGGGGCCTTTCCCTGCCCCCGTGGGCTCTGGGGGACCCCCGGCCCCGGCCGTGCCACCCTCCTGCCGTGCGCGCCCAGGAGGGGTGGGGGACCCGTCCCCATCCGTCCCTGTCTGTAGCCGTCCCCAGCCCTTTCCAGCCCTGTTCCTGTCCCCATCCGTCCCCATCCCAGGTCCCCATCCCAGGTCTCCATCCCCATCCCTCTCTGCTTCCGTCCCCATTGCTCTCCCTGCTCTGTCCCCGTCCCCATCTCCGTCTCCCGCCGGCAGAGCCTGGAGCCGCTGGACCCCAGTGAAAAAGCCAACAAGGTGCTGGCCCGCATCTTCAAGGAGACGGAGCTGAAGCGGCTGAAGGTGCTGGGCTCCGGCGTCTTTGGGACCGTGCACAAGGTGAGTGGGGGGCTCGGCGAGGGGCTCAGCCGGGGCTGGGCACAGGGCTCACCAGGGCATCCCGTCCCCCCAGGGAATCTGGATCCCCGACGGGGACTCCATCAAGATCCCAGTGAGCATCAAGGTGATCCAGGACTGGAGTGGGCAGCAGTCCTTCCACGCTGTCACCGACGTAAGTCCGGGGGGGCACGGGCCGGATCCTGCTCCTCGGGAGGCCGCCGCGGGCGGCGGGGGGGCTCAGCCACGGCTGACGCTGCCCCCGCAGCACATGCTGGCCATCGGCAGCCTGGACCATGCCTACATCGTGCGGCTGCTGGGCATCTGCCCCGGCCCCCAGCTGCAGCTGGTGACGCAGCTCCTGCCGCTGGGCTCCCTCCTCGACTACGTCCGCAAGAACCGCGACAGCATCAGCCCCCAGCTCCTGCTCAACTGGTGCGTCCAGGTGGCCAAGGTGAGTCCCCGGGGTGAGGGGGGTCCCCGCTGCCCCCCGGCCCCGCTGACGCCCCCCGCCCCCAGGGCATGTACTACCTGGAGGAGCACCGCATGGTGCACCGCAACCTGGCCGCCCGCAACGTGCTGCTCAAGTCCCCCAGCCAGGCTCAGGTGGCCGATTTCGGCATCGCCGACCTCCTCTACCCCGACGACAAGAAGTATTTCTACAATGAGGTCAAGGTGGGCGCCTGGCGGGGACCCCCGCGTCCCCCCTCTGCCATCGGGCACCCCCTCCCTGCCCCGCGTGCCCGGTACCTCCTGCGTCCCCTCCTCTCCATGGCCCCGTACCCCCACCACCCAGGGATGTCCCATCCCCTCATGCCCCCTGCCCCGTGGGGCGGCCCCCCGCCGGTCCCCACCTCCCCCCCCACCCC